AAGAAATGAACCTTGATGTTTTGGATCCTTGACAACCAAATTATGTACCATCGATCGTTAGTGTGGCCAACTCCAATATTTATTAAATGACAAACTCCTATATTGGATATGGTTTCCAAATTCAAACTGATTCAGGGGTTAGAACTGGGATAGACTATATTGCAAATTTCTCCATTATTTTTCAGCCTTTCCAATACTAGGTTACTTATCGAGCAAATCACGAGTTTCTTTTTGAAATTCAGATCGTTCACATATGGGATCGGGCCATATAGACTGAAATCGGGAAATGGATCCTCTTATCTACCTTAAAAGATGATTAGAGAAAAAAACGTCATTACACTAAAAGCGGGACACAAATGAATGTCATTACCCCAAAGCACATGCGAACTCAATTGTTAAATAAGTGATTTGAGTTAATAGAATATTTAATGGCTATAAGTAAACTATGGGCGATTAATTAGTGTGCTTTGTGTTGTTTAAACGAAGTCTTAATCATGATCTGTAATCAGCTCACAGCTCAATGATGATCAGTAAACAAAGTTCCAACAGGAAAATTGGATTTGAAAGGAGCTTATTAGCTGGCCAGACCCATTCCCTTTCGAGACTTGGAGAAACACTGAACCTGATCATCCTCTTTCATTCTTTCACATTCCTAGTAGGAGGTACGGATCAGTATTGAAGGAAGGGGGTAGAAAAAGAGGGGACTGGCTTCTAGATTTCCGTGCATTATAGCATCATGATGTGAAGTGGATGTGAACTGATATAATTTGGAATCGTACGAGAGATTAATTAAAGGGAAAAATGCTTCCAGCCCCCAAAACGAAAGAAAACGTGCTTCCCCCTCTCAAGACTTTTTCAACTGGTGTTTTACCCTTAAAAATAAACTTTGTGTTCTCTGAGCCTCAAAAACACAAAACCCAAGAGATTTAAATTCGTGAAAATCATAATACCCTCCATGGCCACCTTCTCCTTCCTCTCCAAACCCAGCCATCGCAACCTCCTCTCATCCTCCTTCCATGGCCTCAAGCTCTCCTCCGCCTTCAAAACCCAATCTTTCTCCTCCCCATCATCGTCATCCTCCGCCCCCCAAATCTCCGCCTCTTACGACCTCTCCTCCCTCCGCTTCCGCCCCGTCAAAGAAGGCCATCGTCTCTGGCGACGATGACCCGCCGCCTACGATGAAAAATCGACATTGATCAACCTTATGCGACCACACCGAACGTCTATCGTTCGACGGCAGCGACGTCCGGATCCGCCGACCTCTCCGGCGCCTACGAGATTCTCCAAAACCCCGACAATCAAACTTTGCCTTTCATTCGAGCTGGTCTGTCCCCTGGCGGTGGCGCCTAGCTCGGCGGCCAGCTCTTCTTCGCCATGGTCGTCCGCTAGCCCGCCCACCTCTTCCTCGACGAGCTCGAGGTCCCCTACGACGAGCAGGAGGATTACATCGTCATCAAGCACGCCGCCCTCTTCACCTCCACCATCATGAGCAAGCTGCTGATGCGGCCCAACGTGAAGTTGTTCAACGTGGCGGCGGCGGAGGATTTGATAATTAAAAACGGGAGGGTCGGGGGGGTCGTGACGAACTGGGCGTTGGTGTCGATGAACCACGGCACCCAGTCGTGCATGGATCCGAACGTGATGGAAGCCAAGGTCGTAGTGAGCTCTTGTGGGCATGATGGGCCTTTTGGGGGCACTGGGGTTAAGAGGCCGAGGAGCGTTGGGATGATCGACACCGTGTCCGGGATGAAGACGCTCAATATGTTAAGGTTATGATTGTTAATGTTACGTATTGGTTGTTAAGGTTACAGGTTTGTTGTTAAGGTTACAGTTTGATTATTAATGTTACGGTTTGGTTGTTAATGTTACAGTTTGGTTGTGAAGGTTACGGGTTAATTATTAAGGTTACGGGTTGACTGTTAAGTTACGGGCTCGTAACCTTAACAACTAACGCGTAATAGGTGAATTCTCATAAACAACAATATTAGGCAATTGAAGAGCTAAAAAAACGAATATTATAAAAATATTTTTAGAAGTCAAAAACTTCACAACCAAAGCGTAACCTTCACAACCAACGCTTATCCTTAACAACAAACATGTAAGCTTAACAACCAACCCGTAACATTAACAACCAACCTGTAACCTTCACAACAAATACGTAACCTTCACAACCAACTCTTATCCTTAACAACAAACGCGTAACCTTAACAACCAACGTGTAACATTCACAACCAACGCGTAACATTAACAATCAACCCGTAACATTCACAACCAAAGCGTAACATTCACAACCAACCCTTATCCTTAACAATGAATATTCTAAAAATATTTTTAGAATTCAAAGAGCCCAAGAGGCCCAAGCCCAAGGCCCATCAAAGACCCTTAAATATATATTGTGTATGTAGGGGTTTGAACCCCTAACCTCTTGTTCAACCTCCCAAACTTTACCACTAGGCCAAGTGGCCCAAAATATTCATGTCACTCAAAATATATATACATATATATCCCAACGTGTAACCTTCATAATTAACCCGTAACCTTAACAACCAACCCGTAATCTTAACAACTGACCTATAACATTAACAATCGACTCGTAACCTTAACAATTAACCCGTAACTTTAACAACCAACGCGTAACCTTCACAACACATAACCTTAACAACCGATCCTAACCTTAACAACCTACCCTCTCCCCCTCATGGCTTCAACCCATAACCATAACTAGCAACCCGTAATCTTCACAACCAATGCGTAAACCAAGACCTCAAGTTGAAGCCATGAGGGGAAGAGATGTTGAGCAAAGACTACCGTAGATCAATTTTACTCACATAAAAGTTGCCTACTATATCATACATTGCTATATATGTTTCTGAATCTTACAAAAAAATAGTAAGAAAAAGGAAAATTACCCAACAATTAACCCTTCAAAAAACAAAAAATAAGATTAAAATCACTAACATGACCTACTTCCTTCTTCCACCTCCTCAATCCCTTCAAATGCTTCAATTTTCACACAATCTTTTACCTAAAAATTCTTCTTGCACTCATCAACTAGCCCCTTAAGCTACCCAGCAAGCCGATTCACCATATCCTTCCTCCCAGTCACCAAACAAACAGTAAAAAACCTCGCTAAGAACCTCATCTATAGCCCCAATTCCTGCAACCCTTGCCCTAACCCTAATCCCTCCCCTCTAAAGTACTCCCTGCTCAAGATCGCCTCGTAAAACACAAATGCCTCCGACGAAATCGACGGCGAGGGGATTGACGGAGCTTCAACGGCAACGACGGCGGCGGAGGCGGGGATTGACGGAGGTCAAGCTTCTCCGCTGTGATTGACGGAGGAAACTCTTTCAAAACATAACAGATATAAGAGAGAGAGAATGATATTATGATCTTCACGAATTTAAATCTCTTGGGTTTTGTGTTTTGGGGCTCAGAGAACGCAAAGTTTACTTTTGGGAGCAAAGCACCCGTTGAAAAAAATCTTGGGAGGGGAAGCACGTTTTCTTTCGTTTTGGGGGCTGAAAGCATTTTTCCCTTAATTAAAAGTCATTTCCCCTCTTATGAAGCTGTTTATTTTGATAACATTTACAATAACATTTTCCAGGAGAATTGCTTTCGTGATTTTCAAAATGAAAAAAAATTAAAGAAAATCATAGGTTTATAGCCTAAAAATCAAAAATTTTGAAATATGTGTAATTAATTATCATTTGGTGGAAAGCAAAAGAAAATGAACAAAAATCGTGGGTTATAGATCGCACATTTTGAAAGTACACATACTTAGTTGTCATTGAACTGAAACAAAGAAAAATTGCAAAAATCTTGAGTTATAAAATTGTAAGTTTTGAAATTTGCTTACTTAATAACCATTCGGTCGAAACAAACAAAAAATGACAAGAATCATGAGTTATATCCCATCAAAATCATAAATTTTGAAGTACACAAACTTAATGTCATTGGATCAAAATGAACAAAACTCGTGACTTATAGCCTATGAAACTGGAGAATTTTTGAACTATGCAAAACTAATTGTTATTGGGTCAGTACAAAGATAGACAAACAAAAACCATAAGTCATCGCCCGTGAAATCGCGAATTTTATACTAATTGCTATTGGGCTAAATGAATGTAAATTGAAGTGATCGTGGGAGCCTATAAATCGCAAATTTTGGAATATTCATATTTCTTAGCAAAGTTAGATGTCATTATATACATATACATATGGTCAAAAT